ATTGGTTAGTTCTTCTACATCTTTGTTGAGTTTCTTTCTAATTGTTCTATGTTTGATTGAAAGTGGTGTGTTAAATTCTCCCATTATGACCATTGAGGCATCTGTTTGTCTTCAATTCTGTTAAAATCTGCTTTATTAATTTTGGGTCTCTTTCATTGGGTCCATAGATATTTATTATGATTTTATCTTCTTGTTCAATTGATACTTTAATCATTATATAATGTCCTTCCTTGTCTTATATGGTGGTTTTGTCTTTAAGTAAATTTTATCAGAAATTAGTATTGCCACTCCTGCTCTTTTTCGGTTGCCATTTGCTTGATACATCTTTTACCAACCTTTGATTCTTAGTCTATTTTTGTCTTTCACTCTAATGTGTGTCTCTTGTAGACAGCACATTGGTGGGTTATGTTTTCTTATCCATTCTGCAACTCTCCATCTCTTGAGTGGTGCAAACCAAAAAAAAAAAAAAAAAAAACTCACTGCCATGAAGTCAGTCACAACTCATAGCAACCCCTCCTTGGGTTTCTGAAGCAGTATCACTATGGAAGTAGATTGTCCAACCTTCCTTCCAAAAACATGTATTAGATAAAAAAAAAAAAAAAACTCACTGCCATGAAGTCAGTCACAACTCATAGCAACCCCTCCTTGGGTTTCTGAAGCAGTATCACTATGGAAGTAGATTGTCCAACCTTCCTTCTGAGGAGTGGGTTTTGGTTTTCAGCCACCACCCGTCTGGTCAGCAGTCACATTCTTTAGGCACCATACCACCAGAGCTCCTCTTAAGTGATGCATTTAATCCATTTACATTCAGTGTTATCAACAAGTATAAATTTGTTGCTGTCATTTTGTTATGTGTTTCTTTGTGCTGTTCCTGGTTTCTTTGTTCCATACAATTTTCTGTGCTGGGGCTCTTTCATTGGGTTTATTTTTCATTGGGTTCATTTTCTTTATGAATCATGTTATCATTTCCTTCGTTGCTGTTGTTTTAGTATTTGCTGAATATTTGTGCTTGTCCTCTTTTTTAAATCATGATGTGAAGGGTTATCATTTTTCTTTGAGGTTTCCTGTGATTTATAATTTTCTCCCTGAGTTTAGAACAGTCCATTCTATCTTCTAACTCTTTTGACTTCATTACCATTTAGTAGTTTTATAACTACACAATTTTTTCCCTCTTTCTGGTTTGTAGTTGTCCTCATTTGCCAATTGTTGTCTCTAGTTCCCTGTTGACAATCTTGTACTTATTTTACTTTGCATACTTCCATAACTGGTTGTGTTCTGGGTTATGTCATCATGTGTACTAATGGTCGGTTGTTGTTTGCTGTTACTGGTTCTCTGTTCAAAGGACTTCCTTTAGTATCCTTGTAAAGTTGGTCTGGTTTTAACAAATTCCCTTAATTTCTGCCTATCTGGAAATCTAATTTCTCCATCATATTTGAGGGACAATTTTACTGGGTATATAATTCTTCATTGCACATTTTCTCTTTCAGGGTTTAATATATACCATCCCATTGCCTTCTCACCTGCATGGTTTCTGCTGAGAAATCAGAGCTTAGTCTTATTAGTTGTCCTTTGTAAGTAACTTTTTGTTTATCCCATGCTGTTTTCAGGATTCTTTCTTTGTCTTTGGTTTTGGTGAGTTTGATGATGATATGTATAGATGATTTTCTTTTTCTATGTATTCTGTTTGGGATTCATTGGACTTTCTCACCTTTCATCATATCAGGGAAGTTCTTTTCCAACATATCTTGGACAATATTCTCAGTGGTTTTCTTTTTCTCTTCCTGTTCAAGGATTCCAATTACATGTAGGTTATTCCTTTTAATGGTATCCCACATGAACCTTAGGCTTTCTTCATTTTGTTTTGATCTTTTTTCTGACTGACCCTTTTCCAAAGAAGTATTCAGGTATTTGTCTTCAATTTCATTAATTCTGTCTTCCATTGATTCATTTCTACTTCTTTGTCCTTTCAGTGTGTTACCTATTTCTGAAAATTTCGTATTAATCTTCTGGATTTCTATGTAGATTTTGTATCATTTCTAATTTTTCATTTATTTTGTCATTTTGTTCTTGTATTTTCTTCCAAAATTGTTCTAGTGTTTTGTCTGTGTTTTCCTAAATTTCGTCATTGTTTTCCTTGATTTGTCTCTCAATCCATTGAAGGCACCTACATATAATTCCTTTGAATTCCTTATCAGGGAGTTCCAGTGCTGCTTCGTCCTCAGGGTTGTGTTCTGGATCTGTATCCTGGTCCCTTGTTTCTATTGCTTTACCTTGCTTCTTTGTGTGGACTGTGATGGTCTGTTGTCTCTGAAATATTGTGACTTTGTTGTATTTATATTTAATTGGTGATTGTATATTGCAGTGATTTGCTCAAGATTTTTTTTATATATATCTGAGTAAGCAGGGAACTGTGGTGCTTTATTCGTTAGTTGGAAGCAGTTAAGCAGTCACCACCTGTCTCTTGGTGAGTGTAATAGAGAATGAAAGTGTCTGCACAGATCTCTGTTAACTGTTTGTGAAGAGTAGGCTCTTACTGGTGGTTGTGTATTGTTGGCCAGTTGGTGCAGAAGGAAGTGGTGGCTCTCACTTAGTAAGTGGAGCTGCAAGAGGTGCAGGTATGGTTGCGTCATATGGGCATGGTTGCTGTCTCCCACTTAGATGAAAATGACAATCAAAAAACCATCATAAAAGTAAAAGCAAGAGGATAAAAAGCACACAATACATAAGCGCACAGGAATAATCAACAATAAGAGAAGAAAAAAAAGGAAAGACAATAAATGAGAGAAAATATTTAAAGAAATAATTTAAAAAGCCAAAAGAAATATGCATAGGAAAAGGGAAAAAAAAGAAAAGAAAAAAACCCACACAATATGGGGAGAGGGAATT